ATCTTTCCCCTATTGTGGTTCCCTGGAAATACCATTACACTAACATACGAGTATACACAAACATGTAGTATTTTTTCCTTTTAACATAAGGAGAATTGTATTACATATACTATTCCCCCAGCTTGCTTTGTTCATTTAATGAGATATTGTGACCTTGTTTCTCTGAAAGTTCATATCTCTGCGTCATTCTGGGTTCAAATCTTAACAAAGTATATACAGTAAATATTAAGTCTCTTCTTGCTTTAGAGGAAGCTAGAGTAATATTTAGGTTATTTCTAATTCTTTGTAATCATAAATACTGGCATTTAACTCTGTGTGTTAATAGGCATGGGAACACCCTCCCCCCATTTATAACAAGGTAGGTGTCCCCTCACAGGCCACCTGCTAAGTTAATTTTTGTTCTTAGGCGAGGCCACATCTTCCCATTCATTGATTATCTTTTGCAAATTCCATTTCCTCATCTGTAAACAGAAAAAAAACATTGCTGATAAGGGGATATGGTGAGGATTAATTGAGACTGTTGGGAAAGAACTGCAAATATAAGGTTTAATATAAAGCAGTAGTGTGATTTTTCTCATTCCTTGATTATGAGTTTTGTTAGCAGAAAATAGTTCCACTCCCCCACCTTTTTTTTTTTCAATAAAAGGAGAGAGGGAAATTCCTCCAGTTCTGGGCATGAGAATAACTTTAGGATACAAACAGTTGGTTATAAACAAACATGAACCCCCTCCTGCTTTAAGTTGCTTGGATAAACACAATGTGACTTCTCAGTTTTAATCTCAGCTTAATGCATGTGACATTATAAAAATGTAAATGAGCCAGAATCTACACTCTTTGTTGGCCCTAACACAGGGCATTTCCCAACCTGCCTAGGCTGACTGGGACATCCTGTTTCTGAATGGGGGTTCTGCATTTTCAGGCTTAGTTGCTACTGACCCCAGAGTTCCCACAGAGACAGGTGACCCAGGAAGATGCCAAGGGCCTATCAATAGAGAAAAACAAGCAAAACACCCTTTACATCTATTGAGAAGAACAGGCAGTGCACATTGGCACTTTCTTATTACATCTACCTTTCATCCTCACATACTCCAAGAGCAATGTTATTATTTTTATTATTACTTTGTACATTTACAGGTGATGCACACTCCTTTCCCCTTTCAAAAAGTTGGAATGTTACAAATAAAGTTTCCTTTGGCACTATTCCTCTCTCCTGCCTCCAGATGACTGTTGATGGGTAGCTCTAGAGAAGCAAAACCAGTGAAGTGTTCGTGTGTATATATATATATATATAGAGAGAGAGAGAGAGAGTGAGCAAGAGAGTGATTTATCTCAAGGAAATGGCTCACTCGGTTGTAGATGCTGGCAATTCCCAAGTCTGTGGGTCAGGTGTCAGACTGGAGGATTCTCCTGACTCAGGTAGTTGCAGGGGCTGATGAACCCAAAATCGGTAGGCAATATGACAGGCCACTGGCTCAGGTCACAAGAACCAGAGGTCAAATGATGATGAGCCAGATGCAGAATCCAGAGCAAGCAAGCAAACTTTGCTAGAATGTCTATATATATGTAATTTATATATATTTATGATATGTATGTAATTTATATAATATATATTATTTATAACATAATATATATATTTATACGTGTAAATATATATATTTTTTTATGTATGTTATATATATATAGATTTAGATCTTAAAAAAATATTGATAGATGCCGTTGAATCGATGGCATGTATGACCCTATGTACGATAGAATGAAACACTTTCTGGTCCTGAGCCATCCTCACAATCATTGCTATGTTTGAGCCCATTGTTGCAGCCACTGTGTCAATCCATCTTGTTGAGGGTCTTCTTCTTTTTCACTGACCCTCTACCAAGCATGACGTCCTTTTCCAGGGACTTGTCCCTCGTCATAACATGTCCAAAGTACATGAGACGAAGTCTCACCATCCTTGCTTCTAAGGAGCATTCTGGCTGTACTTCTTCCAAGACAGATTTATTTGTTCTTCTGGCAATCCATGGTATATTCAATATTATTCACCAACGCCATAATTCAAAGGCATCAATTCTTCTTCGGTTTTCCTTATTCATTGTCCAGCTTTTGCATGTGTGTGAGGTGATTGAAAATACCATGGCTTGGGTCAGGCACACCTTAGTCCTCAAAGTGACATCTTTGCTTTTTAATACTTTAAGGAGGTTTTTTGCAGTAGATTTGTAATATGTTGTTTGATTTCTTGACTGCTGTTTCCTTGGGCGTTGATTGTGGATTCAAGTAAAATGAAATCCTTGACAACTTCAATCTTTTCTCCGTTTATCATGATGTTGCTTATTGGTCCAGTTGTGAGAATTTTTGTTTTCTTTGTCTTGAGGTGTAATCCATACTGAAGGCTGTAGTCTTTGATCTTCATCAGTAAGTGCTTCAAGTCCTCTGCTTTCAGCAAGCAAGATTGTGTCATCTGCATATTGCAGATTGTTAATGAGTCTTCTTCTAATCCTGATGCCACATTCTTCTTCATATAGTCCAGCTTCTCTCCTTATTTGCCCAGCATACAGATTGAATAAGTACGATGAAAAGACACAACCCTGACACATACCTTTCCTGATTTTAAAGCACACAGTATCCCTTTGTTCTGTTTGAATGAATCCCTTTTTGTATATGTACAGATTCTTTTTTTTTTATTATTGTACTTTAGATGAAGGTTTATGGGACAAAGTTTCTCATTAAACAGTTAGTACACATATTGTTTTATGACAATGGTTAACAACCCCACAACATGTCAGCACTGTCCCTTCTCAACCTTGGGTTCCCTATTACCTGCTTTCCTGTCCCCTCCTGCCTTCCAGTCCTTGTCCCTGGACTGTTGTGCCCCATTTGTCTCATTTTGTTCTATGGGGCTGTCTAATCTTTGGCTGGATGGTGAACCTCGGGAGTGACTTCATTACTGAGCTAAAAGTGTCTCCGGGGGCCATAGTCTCAGGGTTTCTTCAGTCTCGGTCAGGCCAGTAAGTCTGATCTTTTTTTGTGAGTTAGAATTTTGTTCTACATTTTTCTCCAGTTCTATCCAGGACCCTCTGTTGTGAAGCAGTCGGTGGTAGCCGGGCACCATCTAGTTGTACTGGACTCAGTCTCGTGGAGGCTGTAGTAGTTGTGGTCCATTAGTCCTTTGGACTAATCTTTCGCTTGTGTCTTGTTTTCTTCATTCTCCCTTGCTGCCGAAGGGATGAGACCAGTGGAGTATCTTAGATGGCTGCTCATAGACTTTAAGACCCCAGATGCTACTCACCAAGGTAGAATGTAGAACATTTTATGAAGTGTGTTATGCCAATTGAGCTAAATGTTCCCTGAGACCATGGTCCCCAGAGCCCTCCGCCCAGCAATTCAGTCCCTCAGGGAGTTTGGATGTGTCAATGGAGCTTCTATAACCTTTCCTTTATGTACAGGTTCTTCATGAGCACAAATAAGTGTTCTGGAATTCCCATTCTTCACAATGTTATCCATAATTTGTTATGATCCACGTAGTTGAATGCCTTTGCGTAGTCAATAAAACACAGGTAAACATCTTTCTCGTATTCTCTGCTTTCAGCCAAGATCCGTCTGACGTCAGCAATGATATCCCTCATTCCACGTCCTCTCCTGAATCCAGCTTGAATTTCTGGCAATTCCGTGTTGATGTACTGCTGCAATATGTTGTTTGATTTCTTGACTGCTGTTTCTGTGGGCATTGATTGTGGATTCAAGTAAAATGAAATCCTTGCAGTTGCTTTTGAATGATCTTCAGGAAGATTTTACTTGGGTGTGATATTAATGATATTGTTCGATAATTTCCACATTCTGTTGGATCACCTTTCTTTTGGAATGGGTACAAATATGGATCTCTTCCAGTCGGTTGGCCAGGTAGCTGTCTTCCAAATTTCTTGGCACAGATGACTGAGCGCTTCCAGTGTTGCATCTGTTTGTTGAAATATCTCAGTTGGTATTCTGTCAATTCCTGGAACCTGTCTTCAGTGCAGCTTGGACTTTTTCCTTCAATACCATTGGTTCTTGATCATATGCTACCTCCTGAAATGACTGAACATCAACCAATTCATTTTGGTATAGTGAATCTGTGTTCCTTCCATCTTCTTTTTGTGCTTCCTGTGTCTTTCAGTATTTTGCCTGTTGCATCCTTCAGTACTGAAACTCGAGGCTTGATTTTTTTCTTCAGTTCTTTCAGCTTGAGACATGCCAAGCGTGTTCTTCCCTTTTGGTTCTCCAACTCCAGGTCTTTGCACGTTTCATGATAATAATTTACTTTGTCTTCTGGAGCCACCCTTTGAAATCTTCTGTTCAGCTCTTTTACTTCATTATTTCTTCCATTTGCTTTAGCTACTCAATGTTTAAGAGCAGGTTTCAGAGTCTCTCTGACATCCATTTTGGTCTTTTCTTTCTTTCCTGTCTTTTTCATGACCTTTTGCTTTCTTCATGTATGATGTTCTTGATGTCATCCTACAACTCCTCTGGTCTTTGGTCATTAGTTAAAAAATAAGAATATATAATCTACATATTATCATGTGATTTGCTTTTTCATACAGTACCTTTTACCTGCTGTATGGTATTCCATCCATGACTGTATTGCCATTTTTAAGTTCATTCCTGTGTTGATGGACATTGAAGTTATTTCTGGATTTTCACTGTCATAATCAAGACTGTGTGCAGTACTCTCATTCATGGACTTGCTGTGGACATGTGTGAGTGTTTCTCTGGGTTAGATATCAGGAAGTACGATTGCTGGGTCGCAGGCTATGTGTCTTACGAGGAGGTGAGACTTTTTCTCCTCATTTGGTAGATGAAGAAATAGAGGCTCAGAGAAGTGTTATGACTTGCCCAGGGTCACGCAGCAGGGAGCAGCAGAAGTGGAACTAGAACTTGGGTCTGTGGGACTCTGGAACCCAGATAGTTTACATCATTCCCTCAGATTCTTTGCAGGGCTGCAGACATGTCCTCTCTCTATTGCTGTCCAGATCTCCACGTACATCACAGTGCCCCCATCCCCACTGATCCAGACCCTGGTGCAGGGGAACATCTTGGTGAGTGATGACGTGCTCATGTCTGCCATGTCGGCCTTCACATCCCTGGACCAGCCCATGCCCCAGGGCCCCCCACCCGTGCAGGTAAGGAGAAGGCAGACTTTTCACAGGGTCTTTATTCCAGGCCTACACATTGACTCCTGTGGATTTAGAATCTTGTAAACAGACGGGGGCTTGGGGGAGGTGGGGCCAAGATGGCAGAGTAGTCAGATGGTTCCAGTGGACCCTTTTACAACAAAGACCCAAAAAAACAAGTGATTTGATTATATATGGCAACCTGGGTGCCCTGAACATCTAAGGCAGTGTTGAGTAACCGGACTGAGTGGCAGGGGAGGGAGAGACGGTTTGGAAGCAGTGAGGAGTTGCCAGACCTGACCTGGCGAGAGCCTGAGCCCTTCAAGCCTGAGTAGCTCATGGGTGAGCAGTGAGGCGGGCAAGCGGTGGTGTTCGGGAGGCGCATTTTCCACACCGGGAGAGACCCAGCGCCAGAGAGTCTACACGGCCACCCAGAACCAGTGAGATGCCGCCCTCATTGGTGAAAGATAAGTACTTGCGTACGGCTTACCGCGTGGATCAAAAACACCCACCTTAGGGAAAATCCTCTCTCCCATTTACCTCCCCACTTCCTGCTCTGCACTGGGTCCTGGACCGGCTTCAGCAGTTGTCGAGCCCCCTGGACCAGAAGTAGGATCCATCACACGCCCTGAGCCATTCTCCTGGCCTTGGAGAATGAACAAATTAACAAACGGGAAAAATAAACTGCCAGCTCCCCTAAGCCAAGAACCCAGGGCAGGCACAGCTCCTTTGCCTAGGCACAGGCATAAGGGATCCACGGACTGTGAGTGCCTTTCCCCCTGCATAGACTTGTGTGGGCCCATCTCAGTAGCATAGGCCCTCATTACCGCAGTACAACAGGGTATATACCGGAACTCTAACTTCAGCTGTTTTAGCTGTGAAGTGGCAGGTTCTTGACACTTGACACTGCCCATTAAGCAGGGTCTTCACCTATCCACATCAGGGGCCTGAGGACTGGTGGCTCCACCCACGCCACCTAGCCCCCCGGGATAGGGCCCCATGAATAAGAGGTGCCCCGCAGTCCTTACAGCCAACAGCATTAGGTGCTCATAGTCCAGCTGCAAAACCTACCCAACTATGCACTCTAGGGAACAGGGACACGCCTTCCTCCTAGACACTTGGGGGTGGCCGTCAGCCCCCTACCTTGCTCAGAGTGTGTCCCCCTGCTGCAGCCAGATGCCTGTGCCTACACCAATCACCCATGCCTGTCCAGGACTGTAAGTGAGAGCCTGCACCACACACTTGGTGGCCATCTACCTGGGCACCTGAGCTGAATCCATACAGGAGGAGTGGGTGGACTCCTGAGCTCACACACCTAGTAACAGATCTAACCAGCTGGTGACAGGACATTAGAGCTTCAAAGGTGTCAATAATCAAAGTAGCTCATATGAGCAGCCTGTTTGGGCATATCAAAACAAAACAAGAAGCTAGGACACAGTAAGCAAACATAAAATAAATAAATATAATAACTTATTGTTGGCTCAGAGATAACAGTCAATATCAAATCACATAAAGAGGCAATCCATGATGGCTTCAGCAAGCTCCCAAAATAAAGACTGTAGAAATTTTCCAGAGGAGGAAAATTTCTTGGAACTACCGGAGACAGAATACAAAAGATTAATATACAGAACTCTTCAAGAAATTAGGAAGGAAATTAATCAAAATGCAGAACACGCAATAAAGGAAATTAAAAAGATTAGAGAAGAGCATAATGACAAATTTAACAGGCTGCAAGAATCCATAGAGAGACAGCAATCTGAAATCCAGAAGATTAAGAATAAAATTTCAGAATTAGACAACTCAGTAGAAAGTCATAGGAGCAGAATTGAGGCAATGGAAGTCAGAATTAGTGAGACTGAAGATAAAGCACTTGACACCAACTTATTTGAGGAAAAATCAGATAAAAGGATTAAAGAAAATGAAGAAACCCT